CGGCGCGGGCGTGGCGGCAGCCCGGGGCCTCGGGCCGGCGCGGTGGCGGCCTCTGTTAGGCGGTCGCCCAGCTTCATCGTCGCGAAGCCGCGCCACCCCCACCTGCCCCATTGCTAGTCCCTCCCCGTCGTTTATTGACCAGTTGGCCTCGCCGTGACTCGGGCAGGCCCGGAGCAGGGGTTGTGGGAGGTGGTGTGTACGGTGTTTGCCTTGGTAAACACTGTGTCCTGGGAGTGGTCCGGGCAGAGGATGAGGGGTGATGCCGGGAGGCTGCGCCCTGCCAACCTGTGCACGGTATAGAACGCACAGCTGAAGGCCGTTACGTGATAGTGAACGTGTGAAGGGTGGATCGTTCCTAGCGGATGTTCAACTTTGATTAAGCGTTGTTTGGTGTATTGTCTGGTGTTTTTTAAGTCCTCTACTAAGTAAGACTGAATAGTCACTGCCCTCTATGCAGATGCGCACATTGCAGTGGAACTCTTTGTGCCTTTAACCTTGCTTGGTCGATTTCAATCAGTGGGAATTCAATTAGACTGTAATAAATTTTTATTCGGCGTATGTGTACACTTAAGCACATGGAGGGGATAGTTTTGATGCTGTCATCAGGATTGAATGTATGCTGAGTCCCTAATTCTGCGCCTTGCTCCTGTTCAACTCTTGCCTGGCTCATTATCACCTGGAAAGTTCTGTTCTTTAAACTTAATGGTTCTTAACCTTCATTAAAAACGACAGCCACTTACGGCTGTTTTTGTGGCTTCTTTTCCTGTTCTGTCCCTTTTTTGTTACCATTCCACATTTGTGAAACGCCTTTGAAGGCAGGAAGGATGTTATACGGTACTTTTTTGTATTTTCTACCTACCCACCTCCAGCACCGCAAGTATTTGTACATTGATCAACCATGCTTATTTGTTGCTTTAAAACTGAGAAAATTAATTTAAAAAATCAGCATTTGTTGGGGGCAAAGCAGTGTTTAAAGCAGTGTTTATTCAATCTGGCGTGCTTAGCAATATTAGGTTTACATTTTTTATTTTGGACTAAGTCACCTCGTGACTCCTCGTACCATTTATTCTTTCAGCACCCACTCTTTGCTGTGCCGTTATTTCGTTAGGGTGCTAAACTGATTTCTGTTTTTCCAAAGAAGCCGTTTTTAGTGTTTTTAATCTTTGTAGCATGTTCCACCATATATTAATCTGTGTATTGTAAACTGTACATCTGAATGTAGTTGAACTTGTATTATAGATAAGATTCCTGTTCTCAAGGGACCTGAAATACTTTTTACTTAGAGATTATGGTGGCAACAGATAGCATATCAATCCAGTATAATTCTTAATAGATTGGCACTGCCTCAGTTTCCACTTGCCTAAGTTTATTGGTTTTTTTCTTTCCTTCTGGTTTTAAAAATAATGCATTATCATTGTAGAAAACATAGAAGCAGTATCTAAAGTCAAAATCACCTAAAGTACAATTATTAAAATAATTCCTGCTGATATTTTGAGTGTTTCAAGTTTGTGTGTGTGTGTGTGTATGGTTCCTGGGTGATGCAAATGATTTGCTCTCTTCTACTAAACAAAAGATTGGTGGTTCAGACACATCCAGCAGCACTGCAGAAAAAAGGCCTGGCAATCTGCTTCCGTAAAGATTACAGCCAAGAAAACTCTATGGAGACACTGTACTCTGTAACAAGAGGTTGCCATGAATCGGGTGGACTTGATGGCAATGGATTTGGTTTTTGGTTTATGTATAAAATATGTTTTTAAATAGAAATTTTATTTTTTTGGTGAAAATATTGTATAAAACATTTTTACATACTTGGCATCATAATGTGTTGTTTAGTATCAGTTTTTTTATGTGTATGGGTGCCTGATAACTTACCTGATGACTTTTCACTTTCAGTAGCTTCTCCCATTATCTCAAGGAGACACCATGAAATCCTCTGAATTAAAAGAACTTTAATATTTTAATTCATTTTACTTTTAAAAAGCATAACCTAATTAATGGAGATAGAGTTCCGAAGTGATCAAATGGTTGAGAACTGCTGGTCATGGTTTTTGGTTTCCTTAATTTTATATTTTAAGCAGGGATAAATACCTGGTAATTGCATAATTTCATTTGGTAAACATGATAAACTATTAAACATCCTATCATTGCAACATTCGAATTGTTTAGTCACAGTTTTAAATGTGAATGCTGATGTACTTTGATCTATTACCACTAAAATATCATCCCCTCCCTGCAAAAAGGTAGAGACAAACACCCTGTCCAGCAATTTGTTTTTCACCAGCAGAATTTATTGATTACTATCTAAATTTATCATAGGTACTTTAATAAATTAATGAACAAGAATTTGGTATCTAGAAAGTCAGGAAAAAGGAAGTGTCGGCTGCAACAAAATCTTTGCAGAATAGTCCCAGCTCGAATTCTCTTAGAGGGTAGGATGGGGAACTTTTTTGACTGTATTATTTGGGTCATTCTGTTTGGCACCATCAACTCCTTCCTCTCGATTACTCTGGCATCAAACTGTTTACTTGGTTTGGTTGGATTACTGCTACAGTGTATCTAGCCTCTGTGTTTTTTATTCTCGATGTTGTAGCCCTAGTTCGAGACTTGTCTGGAACACTCTGAAATGGTGCCTCTCCAGTTTATTTCCTACAGCCCCTTCTTTGACATGGATACCTGACTATTAGTCCTAAAACATTATTTCTGTTCCCTTTCCAAAGTTCTTTAGTGGCTTCCCATTGCCCATACCTATGTAGATTTTAAATTTGTTCAAGCTGTGGAAAGCACCTGGAAGTTCTTTTTTGATAACTTTGAAATAGTTTAGGGAATTGGGGAGTGAGGAAATTACAACAAATTAAAATGTGGCGAAAATAATCATTATAAAATCAATAGTGCACAATAGTTTAAGAACTCAAAACATATAGATTGCTAACAGGTTACTATTGTTATTCGTTTCTTAGAGCACTCATTTATTTCAAACATTAGGTATTGGAGCTAAATGCTCCCTTTCTTAACCTATGCCCTTCACTTTTATCGTCTGACTCTGATGTTGGAATCCACTACCGTGAGCTCTACCTCTTTCGTGCTGTGATCTTTAGAAGAGCTGTCGCTTAGATCTGCACCATCCAGTATGGTAGCCGTTAGCCACATGTGGCTATTGAGCACTTGATATATGGCTAATGCTTTAAGTGTAAAATACACATCAGATTTTGAGACAAAGTATGAAAAAAGGACATAAAATATATCAATTTAAAAGATATTGACTGTATGTTGAAATTATAATAGATATACACCTGCTCCTCATTATCGACTGTCTCGGTTTACCAAGATGATAGTAAAAAATCTACTGTCCAACTATTTTGTGCCTCAATGACGCATGTCTGGCAGTAACAAACGCCAAGGTGTGAGGCGAGAGTAACGCAGGCTGTGACGGTGAAGGTTATGTGTCAGCTTGGCTCGGCCATGATTCTCAGTGGTTTGGCAGTTATGTAACAATACAGTCATCTTTCATTTTGTGATCTGATGTGATCATCCTCCATTATCGTATAACGCCAATTTTCACATAACTGACCTGGTCTTTGGAACCTAACCACGTTGATAAGTGAGGAGTGGGTGTACTGGGTTAAATAAGATACATTATTACAATTAATTTCACCTGTTTCTACTTTTTAAAACTGGCTAGTAGAAATTTAATATTACATATGTGGCTTGCATGATATTTCTATTGAACACCCCTGCCTTAGACTTAGTGTAATAAGGGTAGGGTTGGTAAGATATACTATATATTATCTTTTGGTTTCTATATATGAAACTGTATTTGGACTAGCTCGTGGGACAACTGGCCTTTTAAACACAGTTGGAGAATCATAGCCTACAGATAAAATCCATATTCTTTTTACTTCTGTATTTGAAAACTTTGACAGTTTTGCCCTAACCTACCTTGATAGATGCATTTCCTTTTAGTACTCTGTGTGGAGGTTTGATATGGTGTAGCATTTAATAGCATGGGCTCTGGGGTCAAAGGAACCTACTAGATTCATAGCTCAACTGCTTACTGGTCGTGATCTTGGGCAAGTTCCTTAACTTCTGTAAGCATTATTTTCCGTATGAAATCATTTAATTAGTCTTAATTACTGATAGGGATAATAGTACCAATCTTGTAGACTCAGTGTGAGTATGTTTGCTAATCCCTTACCACAATAGTGTGAATGGCTCAGTATAGCGCAAAGTAATAAATGGTTCAATAATTGCTTACCTATTGTGGACCCTCTGCTTCACCTAAACTGATCTTCACATGTTCCTAAAATATTCTGGGTTTATTCCCTTCATATTTTTATTCTTTCATTTCTCAAATGGAATGTTTGCTTCTCCCA